CAAAACAGACCTCTCTATCATTAAAATATTTTTTATCTCTTAGCCTTCCTCCTCCATCCAGATGTCACCTTTTGTTATTAAAATAGATGGTTCTGTTTTGTCTCCTCTAGATTAGTGGCCCCCAACCTTTTGGGCACCAGGGACTGATTCCATGGAGAGAAGTTTTTCCACAGACCGGAGTGGGCGTGGTTTCATGTGCTGCCTTCATCCCGTGGATGGGGCTTCACTTCTTTTCACCGGCCAGTTTATGGCATGCCGTGGACTGGTGGTAGTCCACGAACCAGGGCTGGGGAGCCCTGCTCTGAATGGCCAAGACTATGGGAAAAAGAAATTTTGCTTTGTGCCTTTTATTTTAAACAGGAGTTACCTTTTGAAAGAAATTGGTATGTTGCTAACAGTCTTGCCAATCAAATATTCTTTTCAACATTGGTGCTGTTTCTTGGAAGAAATCTTACAGTCTGAACTTTGGACCTACTACAAGAACCTTGAAGCATTTCCAGGCTCTGCAGAAACTCACACAGACTCAAATCAACTGGCACAATATTCCTATTTAAACTTTTACATCACTTACGTCCCTAGCTTGCCAATTAAGCAGTCTGATGCTCTTTCACAAAACCATGAATATATGATGTGCCTCCTGTCTATCTTGCATCTGGAAAATATTGTCTTCCCCATCATCTCACTTTCTTCATTGGTCTCTTTCTGTTGGTAATAGTCTGGGATTCTGTTCATTTCTTTGTTCTTTTTGTAAAAAACTCTGCTAGAGAAAGAATGTACAAAAAAATCCTAAACAATTACTATTATTAAAAAGATGAAATATGTATCCTAGAAAGCAGCAGATAATGATGATGTGCCCATATTTTCCACTAATTATATCTGCAATGCTCACACAGAATTGATGCCAATATCAGATCTGGTCCAATTAAAAAGTATATTATTCCCTCATTGCAAACAGATAGTAATCACTGGAACAAGTCATACTAGAATGAATATGACTCACTTTACCTGAAAGATGCACACTAGAGAAGACTCCATGTGCTGACCCATGTTCTTGTCAGCCCATGAACAACCAATATGCAAGGCTTAGACTGGAGGTTACGTCACCTGCTGGCTATCTTTTTCAGAATCTGAACAATGATGTGTGAGGATCACAGGTTGCTTTGATTTGGTTGGTTCCTTGGGAAAGTTTTCACTTTGACATTGCTGATTGATTGTTCTACTCCACGTTGATTCTGTTCTCTTCACAGAATCACGGAGTTGGTATGGAACACTGCTGAGTGCACTCATGATGTACTTACAGTCATTCAACCTATAGACTCTTTCATATTGTTAATGAAGTATATATAACTATGATTTTATGTCAGGCTATTAGATTAGTAAAGCAAAACCTTAAATGCTGTCATGCAATTTGACGGGAGAAGAAAAACAATGCTAGAACAAAAATAAACAATCTTCAATACCGCTATAAAGAAGGTCAACTATTTAGGACTTTAGGACTTTACTTCACAAAAAAAATATTATTTACCACATTGGATTAAGAATTAAAGGCAGAAAGATTGAAGTCAAACAAGGTCCAGGCAGAAGAAGAACATCATGGATTCAAAATCTAAGGGACTGGTTTGGACAAAACTCAACAGCATTTTTTCAGCGGCTGATGATAAAAATAGGATCACCAACATGATCGCCGACATCCAATGACTGATATGGCACAAGAAGATTAAGAATTATTTACCAAATTGAACAAATATAACTGCAGATATTTCTAAATAGAAAAAATATATATCTGAATTTGTTTTGGTTAGGAAGAATCGCATTAGTTAAACTTACATTCTGTCAAGACTCTTTCCTCTTTTCCTCTTTTCTTTCCTGTATGATTTCAGACATGAATCACAAAATTGATCATACTTTCTTGTTCTTACTTGTACTGAAGGGTTAGGGTTCCAGATGGTTTGTACAAACAGCTTTAAGTTGAAGTGGAGCCATTAATGTGCTGCCTTCTCTGCACTCACTCAACTATTTCTGAGTCCATCTGATAGTAGTATTAGCTATCCCATAATTTACTCTTCTATTGAAAAGCATGTAATGTGTGACTTCTAGAGACTAGAAGATCTCCAAGGTTCCTTCCACTTCTGTTATTCTGTTATCTGCTGAATTTCAGTTGCACTCTGTATATGTTCAGGTATACATTTGAGTTAAGGAGATGCCAATAGAGTGCGACATAATGCCTTCTCAGAAGCTCTAACTCAAATGAATTTTCTGAGGTTACGCAGCTGCTGTCTGCATCTAAGAAACAATTGCATAAAGAGGTGTCAACAGGCACCTTTTGGCTTCAGATCCAAAGCAGCATGCATCCCTGCTTGAAAGGATCTGGTTGATTGAGGGAAGCTGATCATCTTGGCTGTCTGCTAATTTTGGGCTATGGGTGGGGGGAGGAATCAAGAAAAACAAGTTTGACACTCAGTTTATTGGGGAGGAGAAGAGATGGGTAAGGAGCAGGATAGAGATTGAGCCATTCAAAAGCAAGAGAGATGCTGTTTTGAAAAATCCCTTTCCTAAATTCTACTCGGAATTCCCATGTGTGTAGCATTTTGTTTAATTTGCAGTGATTTTCCTATGTATGTTAGTATTAAAGTTTGTTTGTATCCCTTATTTAATGTTAAATCCTGCATTGAAGACTATGGCCATATGCCAAAGGTGCCATGTCCTTGTGCAAGACATTTTCAGGTCATTTCCAATATTCCAAGAATATTAGATGGATGGATGCCAATTTATGAGAACAATGTTGCCACTCATTTGCACGCATCTCCTGGTAAAGTCTGGATTTGGTGGAATTCCAGACAGCCTCAGGATTTGGATTCGTTTAAAGTAATTAGAACTGTTTTTAACCAAATGATAATTAAAATCTTGATAGGTTTCTATGTATGCTTGCCAGTTTCAGCAGTCATAAGTTGCATGTGTTAATGGACTATTACAAGTCAAAATTGTGAATATCCCATAGTACATTGCTTTTCACTGATGTCAATGCACATACCTATTCCACAGAGCAATTACTGCATATCTGGTGTTGATGTTGATGTTGATATAGATACAGATAGACCGACCTGCATATGGATTAGAGAACAAATGAAAGTATACAATGTCATCAAGAGAGTAAAAGAATGGAAATGGACTTGTCAATGTCAGATGGACTAAGGCAGTCATAGAATGAATCTCACTTGATAAAAAGCATCTAAAAAGAGACCTAAAACAAGATGGATCGACGACATCAGCAAGTATTGCAAGCCCAACTGGCAAAAAAACCCAACTCAGGACCATATTGATTGGAAACATGCGGAGGAGCCTTCATCCTGCGGTGGGTAAACAAGGGCTAAAATGTGTGTGTGTGTGCGCGCACACACACACACACACACACAAACACACTGGACTGCATTTGAAACATTTGTGGAAATGAAAAGGGACAAGGTGCTTTTTCAAGAGGCAACTGGACTTCCTGATTTTTCTTTGAAGATGTTTCGCTTCTCATCCAAGAAGCTTCTTCAGCTCTTCAGACCATGACCTGGATGACTGAGAATCTCCATAGAAAAGGGACAAGATTACCTACCTTTTGATTCATCACTGAACTGTGGGAAGGTCTATGTCTTCTTGGCAGAAAACATACTAGGAGAGGATGATAATCCTGAGCCTACTAAATGCCAGAGGTTCTCTGTAGAACTGGCTCTACTGATAAGACTGTATTTCAGTTGACATTAGATATTATACTTTTCAGTGTGGCACTCAGTGCTCTAATCCATAATTATCAAATGATGACTATGTGACTATTATTCAGTTAATTCTTATAAATAACAGCCTGTACTGAAAAATAGTACTTTAATTCAGCGTTCACCCTCTTTAATGTGCTCTAGATGTGTATACTTCAAACTGTAGCATTCTCAGCATTGGATGGGGAAAACCCACATATCTTAAGAATCCAAGTTTCATAGAAAGGCTGTTCTTGCTAATACTAAAAAAATAAATTAAACTTCACTATCATGTATCTTTTTGATCTTCGTTTAGCTCATATTGCTTTAAATTGGTAGCTGCCTGTTCTGTTGAGAATGCAACACCTCTAATACATAAGTAACCTAACCATCATATCTGGGTAACAGAATATTGGTTTGGGCAACTTCTCCAATTTTCTTATAAGAATTTGTTGAGGATTTAAATTGCAACTTGTGTTATATTCAATTCTCTATACATTGTTTCTCAGGATTAACTTCCATCAATGATTCCTCTGGAAATACTTTGGAATCACTAGAATCATTGCCCTTTCTACCACCAGAAATCAGGACTGATATTTCTCTGCAGTTAGTCTAAGATAGTGCAGTCCAGCTGAGTGAATGGAGAAACTTTGCAAGTAATCTTTAAAACGACAGCAAGCCTTTTGATCTGATTTACAGGTAGTCCTCGATTTACAACAGTTCATTTAGTGACCATTCAAAGTTACAATGGCATTGAAAAATGTGACTTATGATCATTTTTCACAGTTATGATCTTGGCAGCATCCCCAGGATCATGTGATCAAAATTCAGATGCTTGGCAGTTGCTTCATTTTTATGGCTCTTGCTTTGTCCCAAGGTCATGTTTTTTGCGACCTTTTGCGACCTTCTGACAAGCAAAGTCAATGGGGAAGCCAGATTCACTTCACAACTGGGTTGCTAATTTATCAACTGCAGTGATTAACAACTGTGGTAAGAAATGTCGTAAAATAGGGCAAGACTCACTTAACAAATTTTCATTTAACAACAGAAATTTGGAGCTCAATTATGGTCACAAGTTAAGGACTACCTGTACTAGTTTCTTTCTTTACTAGTTTCTTTCTACATAGGAGAGGCATTCAGAAATGCTATTTGTAAGAGAAACTAGAAATGCTATGATTTATTGTAGTGTTTAAGGTGCTGCCCATTCAGCTGTAACTTTGCTGTGGATGCCAACCCTTTCCTTTTTTTTTTTTTTTTTTTTTGTTAAATCTCTGCAGCCTTGTTTTTGAAGATCTGTCATGGCAGTGAGCCCTAGAAAGTAGCTTGGCTTGTTAAAAAATAAAATTATTTATAGCCTTCTCTTCCATGTAAAGACCAAAACTTAACTGTCTGCCAACTTTTGCCAGGGCATTTTATGATCATTATTCCAACTACAGTCTGGGTTGGGCAAGTATTTCTGGTTTTATGTCTAATCAGCTGATGGTAGATAAGCATGGAGCAGGCAGACACTCTGGATCCAAACTGCCTGGCCTGACACCAGAACAAGTCCTGGCTTTCCACCTTCAGTTTCACATACAAGACAGGTATCCTTTGCATTTGAAGCACAAGACACTTGACGACAATTCTTGAATGAGTGCCTGGCTGCATACTTGAAGTCATGGGTATGTTGGCTAGATTTTATCTCTCTGTTCTCACTGGGTGTATATCAGGGTAAGAGCAAAGGAGGAGGATCTACTACCCAATTAGCAGCATTCCTGAGGAATGAGTGGGAGGTGCGTTGTGTTCAGGGTTGTCTCTTGCCGAACAATCCAAACTTCTCAGCGTAGGTTCTTCTGTTCCTGGATACTTTGAGGACACAGATGAATTCATAGGTGCCTTTCTTGGTGGCAGCAAATTATCTGGGCTATCAATGAAGAAAATGGATAAATTTGGAAAGCATGGCAGATATGGATTTGTTAGAACTCGATTTCCTAGACCCCAAATCATCTTGCAGCCAGTCCTATCTTCTGGACACACAGAAGTTTGCAGGTATGGTTTGCGTTAACTTGTGTTACTTCCTCTTGAATTTACACTAGCACACAGATGTGGCATAAGGTAGAAGAGTAGTAGTATAAAAAGCTGAAATTCAGGTAAAACGACAAAACAAATTAAAAATGGCAGGAAGCTTACTAGCCATTTGCTAAAATTTACTAGCAATGTTGGAAGCTTATTAGCCAGCATTAATTGACTTCAGATTGTTATGGGATAGGGAATAAGTAGCAAACTGTGTGGATGTAGAAGATAGAAGTAATTTTTAACATGCAAAATAGCTTATCAAATCTTAGAAGCTTGTAATTTCAAGAAGTCTTCATTTAATACCAGAACTGAATACAGAAATTATATGTATACTCCGTGTATAAGTGGCATGTGATCGATTTGTTAGTTTTAGCTACAATATGTCTATTAAATAGTGTCTCAGTATAATGTTTTAGTATAATGGCTTTTTGGTGCTGACCTTACAGTATTATAATATTGGATCAACTATTTATATGCCATACAGAGATGGGTTTTTTTCCTTTAGCTTCCCTCAGATGGAGTTGTGCATTGTGTAGGGAACATTAATTGCCACACAGTTTCTTTTCTAGATTTCTACCTTATTTATGATAGCACTTGTTCTATAATTAATACTGCAAAGTCTTTCTTTTACTGTTGTAAAGGTCTTACATTCTTTTTGTACAAAGGAAAAAATGGTGCTCTTTATCAGTATTAATTTTGAAAGAAATGCAGATAAATCGGCCTGTTTTAAGTTGTTCTTGCAGTCTTTTTACTTAAGTCTAGAAATTGTCTTTAGGTTATGAATCCTCTGTTATATATTTGTAGGCATGATTAATAGAGCCTGTGACTACTTGACACTTACAAAATGTAATGGAAAATATATCAACACTTCAATTACTCATTCAAGTGATCACTTGTTCAATTAGTGTTATAGCAACCACAACAGGTAAATTGGATTGTGATTGAGATGTCATCAGTTTGAGCTCTATAATTTTGGTGCCATTCTTTCCAAAAATAGTCAGAAGGAGATGGTTATTGATCCAGGTTCTTTTGCAACATTTATTTGGTTTCTTATTCTTCAGGCTAAGTGCCAGCTGTGCTGTGATTTCTCTAAGCTCAGAAACTGACTTGGTGACATTCCACAAGATGACCAAACTTTGTGCAGAAACTAATCGTGCATTTTCAGCCATTGTCAGTCTTTTGCAGTTTTGTTCAAAGACAAAACTTAAACATTGCCCCTTCTCTCTGTGTATTTGGCCCTGAAGTTAATCCATCTCTAAATCTTATTTCAACTAAGGTTCTCATGGTTGACATATCACCGAATTGCAGATTGCTGTTGTCTGCCAAACTACCTCATTTCTCAGTGGGAATCTGGGAAGGGGGAAGAAAGATTGCAAAAATGTTTTAGGTATGTTTTTAATTTCCATTTCTTAAGCTTGCAATTTGCAGTAATTGTTCAGTACATTTTTTGGGGGGGCTTTAGTACATTTTTCTTGGCTTTTGTTCTGGTGGGATGGGCCCATATTTTATTCCTCTACTCTTCGCAACACCTTTTATTACTTACTGAACTAGAATGACGTATAATATATCCAAAGACATGAGAGAATAAAAGCCTATTTGCCTGGTGTTGCAAAGAGGACAAACGTCGTATGCTTCACAGGAAGGAGTATTCCACAGCTGGAGTGTAGTGAACATCGACTCAGAAGACCTCTTCTGGAGAATTACTAGCCATCCCTAGTGTGAGAAGATAGCCAAAGCAGGACCTCCTAAGATGTTTAATCATGTTTTTCTGAATAAACTGCAGTTGACTTTATACAACAGTTTTAAGCTCAAACCAAACTGCTTTATGCAATTTGCATTTCTAGCCTGTATGTGAAGGGGAGTAACACTTGCAGAGGGATTTTGAGAGAGTTTAAAAGAGCCATGAAGATTCCACTTCAAAATTGATGTGTCAACATATTTCAGCCCCAAGACCAAGACTCTTAAAACTTGATCTTCCGAATAGAATTTTAAGAATAAAGTAGCTCCTTAGGACAGAATTTTAAAACTTTGTCAAGATGCAGATTAACAGTGTTTAGAACCTTGTGCTTTCCTTGTTCCTGTTCATAAATTTGGTAAACTGATGCTTCATAGTTGACTGATATGTAACAATTAGAAGTTCAGAAATTAAATGAGACTTGGGTTTGTAGCATTACCTTTGTGCACACAGGGGAAAACGCAGCTGGGGGTGTTGAGAGCTGCCTGGTGGCATTATTGTTTCAGTTCCCCATTTATTCCCTAATTGATTTGGATCATTATTCTATAATTTATATTCAGGCCACCACTGAGTTGACATCAGTGAATTAAGAGCTCTGCTTTGTTCATCTCTATCTATTGGAATTTAAACCTATAAAATATCCTGTTGGGTTATCTGCCTGAAATAGGTAATCATTCATAGGTGGAGGACTGCACACAGTGGACAGAACAATGGCAATTGCAGAATACGGCTAATCCTCAGCCTATGACCACAATTAAGCCCAAAATTTATGTCGCTAAGTGAGACATTTGTAAAGGAAGTTTTGACCCATTGTACAACCTTTCTTGCCACTGTTGTTAAGTGAATCATTGCAGTGGTTAAGTTAGTAACACAGTTGTTAACAATGAATCTGGTTTCCCCATTGACTTTGCTTGTCAGAAAGTTTAAAGGGGGATCACGTGACTCCAGGACACTGCGACGGTCATAAATATGAGTCAGTTGCCAAGAGTCTGAATTTTGATCACATGACCATGGGGATGCTGCAACAGAGGTAAGTGTGAAAAATTGTCATAAACCACTTTTTTCAGTGCCGTTGTAACTTCAAATGGTCACTGAATGAACTGTTGTAAGTCGAGGACTACCTGTATGTCCATTGGCATGGTTGTCTTTCTAATAGATGCCATGGAAGAATAATCGATAAATTAGGATTCTCCCTCTTTGTTTTTTTTGTCATCTCAGCATAAATTAAGGTCCTTTCCCAAATAGAAGTAGTCTTCGACTTACAACCATAATTGAAGCCAAACATTCTGTTGCTAGGCAAGACAGTTTGAGTTTTGCTCCATTTTATGATTTTTCTTGCCGCAGTTGTTAAGTGAATCACTGCAGTTGTTAAGTGACACAAGCGATCTGGTTTCCCCCATTGACTTTGCTTGTTGGAAGCCGGTTGAGAAGGTTACAGATAGTGATCACGTGACCCCGGGATAGTGCAACTGTCATAAATACATGGCAGTTGCTAAGCATTTGAATTTTGGTCACATGACCAAGGGGATGCTGCAACAGGTGTAAAGTTGAAAACCGCTCATAAGTCACCTTTTTTTCAGTACCGTTGTAAATTTGAAAGGTCACTAAATGAATGGTTGTAAGCCAAGGGCTGCTTCTATGGCATGAAATCCCCTGACAATGTCTTTATTCTGCTGTTGCCTGTTGAAGGTGTTGCCTTCACCTTCAAAGATGGCGCCTGTTCTTAACTGAACTGGAGTTGAAGAATTGTTTTTCTCTTAAACTGACATCAACTACAAGCAATTTTGAAATGTTTCCAATCCCTTTTGTCAATAACTCAGTCAGGGGACCCTGGTGGGGGAGTGGGGAGATGAATCAGGCACTATAGGAGTATTTTAGGCTGTTGTAGGTGCGCCCCATCCCCTCCGCACACTTTCACCATCATTCTACTTACCCTCCCACCCAAAAAATGAGGTGCAGCATTTTGAAGAAGGTTAAATATTTGCTCTTCAGAGACTGCAGGCCTAGCCATCTTTCAAAAGTTGTTACTTTCTGAAAGCTACTCAGTAGCTGTTTCTATTGTCCTGGGACTGGATTGGACTGGATTGCCTATCCAAATTTTACACCTCAACTTCACTGGATAATTCTTCAGCAAGCGTGTAGAGGTGGTGTGCCCTTTCCCATGAGTAGTGAAACAGGAGAATATGGTTTGAGCCACCTGTCAAATCTGCACCCTTCCCAAACACTGTCCTTGCATCACAGCTATGATTGGTGGGTGGGTAGGTGGTTTCCCACTGGCTGGTAAGTGGGAAAGCAGCAAAGCCAGGGTTCAACTAATCTCTTAGCTAAACACACCCTGCTAATCTGGAAGCAGAGGCGATAAAGCAAAATATTGTAAAATAGAGATTTTCCTCTGATAGTATTCTGCTGACTCAGGGAGTGGAGTGGAGAGCCTTTTATCATCACAATGGACATGATAAATGTCTGTGCATGAAGTCAGCTGTACTTACAGGCCTGTTACTCCATACTGGATCAGTGCTGGATTCTAATTCTACCAAGCCATATGTCAAAGTGTAATTCATAAAGTATTTGGATGGTATTGAGAAGAGCAGATTGAGAAGTTTTTAAAACAAGGACACAGAGTTTCATAATTATGAAAGCATGGAAGTGAAGTGCGAACATGCTGGTGAATGAAAAAGTCTGCATTTGTTGGAACTGTGTTTGGAGCCAGGGGAAGAGCAGGGAAAGAGTTTGTAGTCTGTAAAATCTCACAAAAAGGTCTTTAGCTCTGCAGGCACCCTAGAACAGATGTTAAGGCTTTGCACTGATAAATTGCATTATTTCAGGTAGAGATTCAGCCTTTTTGAATTATCCACTTTTGAAATAAAGTAGAAATTGCATGGAGGTTTAGCCACTTTAGTAAAAAAATATCTTTCTCAGCAGCTGTAGAGATTTTTACTAGCCTATGGATGGCAACCCATATTTGTAAATAATAAAAATGGGACTACCATAAAAGCCAAGCATCAATGGATGACATTTAAAGAGATTCATGCTATTTAATGGTTATCCCATTGTCATCCAGATGTTTTTGTCTTATAATAAAAGCTGATTGAACACAAAAATGCTATCAGAATTAATCAAATCATGCCAAGCATTTGATCCCAGCCTCTGAATCAGGAGAGCTCTTCCCAATTGCAGATTGCTGTGCTATCCTCTATTTTGCTTTATTCTCTCTCTATGATGGACAGGAATGTCTTTAGTTTACATACAGATGTTTTTTAATCTCTGGGAACCATTTTTGCTGAAAAATAAGATTATAAATATCAGACTAATCTTCTGAAACTGTTCTGTAATTGTAATTCTTGTTGTTTTGTTGAGTAATCCATGCAGTGTTTGGATTACTAAGCAACCACCATCTATATACCTCTTATTTTTTCATTGAGAAGTTGGAGCTGTGCTTTCTGCAGGATGTTTTCTGCCCTATGTCCCTTCACTGTTGAGCACAGGCACAGGCAGTTGGGGATGAATCTGTGCCCGTGATAGCGAGCCTATGGCACACGTGCCGGAAGTGGCACGCAGAGCCATCTCTCTGGGCATCTGTCGCCCATTGCTTTCCCGGGTTCTGACCAGCTGGTCTTCGTGCACGCGGGAGTGCCAGAAACCAGAAAAGCAGGTCCCTGACGCACATGCGCACACCAGGAAGCTGAGCTTCCGGTTTCTGGGGCACGAATGCACACGGCCAGGTGGTCTTCACACGTGCATGTGCGCCAGAAACCAGAAGTTCAGCTTCCCAGTACATACAAGCGTACTAGGGAACTGCTCTTCCGGTTTCCCATGCGGAGCGTCAGGGAGCTGCTCTTCCGGTTTCCAGCACTCCCCCACGCTCCCATTTTGGCACTCGGTGCCAGAAAGGTTCGCCAACACTGATCTATGCTGTCTGCATCTCAAACTGAAGTGCAAATGGTTCTTGTAATCTGCAATTTTTCTGGCAATCCATTCATACTCCTGCACTATTCAAAGGGTGTTCATCCCAAAGTGCATTGCTTCTCAGTCATCCAGGTCATGGTTGTCCCAAAGGTGCTTTTTGAAGAGGCAACTGGACTTCCTCATTGTTCTTTGAAGATGTTTCGCTTCTCATCCCAGATGCTTCTTCAGATGACGTTTCGGTTCTTGGATGAGAAGCGAAACATCTTCAAAGAAAAAACCAAGTCCAGTTGCCTCTTGAAAAATTACCTTTGGGACTCTGCATAGACACCATCTATATATTGCTTTCTATTGTACTTTATTTGGGGTACGGGCAGTTGGATGGTGGACATAAGATAGCAAAGGCATTGATACTGGCTTGTGGATAAATTTAAAACATGAAGTTATGAGACAGTTGCATAGTTATCAAAAATGATCAGTTTGGGGTGAACATAAGTTGTTTCTAAATAAAGGTATTTATAGGTAGGTAACTCGTACATCAGACATCTAGCCTTTCCAAAAACTCCATTGCAAATAATTATAGGAAGTTGTTTTCAGACCAAATAGCTACAGGTTCTAGATGGTGGGAACTATACAGCGTTGTGTAAGTAATACCGGTATAAGTTGAATTTCTCTTCTGCAGTTCCTCTTGGGAATGGCAGCAGAATGGTAATTATAATGTTGATTTGGGAGGTTCTCCCTTCCCAGAATAGTATTCTGTGAATCAAAATTGGCTGTTTTTCCAGCTGCTTAATTTACTTAGCCACACAGCATTCTTGCACTGCTGGGGAGACCGAATATAAGTTGATCTGACCCTCATAGGTTTTAAGTGATTACTTACTATAATCCATTATTCAAATGACAATGCTTCAGGCAAAGACTTGGAAGCAAATGAAAGAGGGACTCGGTTTCCAATTATGTTATTCCTTCACCCCCTCACACATGCATGTTTAATTTTATTTTTTTAAAAATCCCTTTCATCTGCCATCTCCCTGCCAAGTAATTATAAGACCTTGAGAGGCTAACTGGAGGCTAGCCAATGATCTGCCCTTCTTTATATATTTTAACTTTCCTGTGAATTTCTTTCAATGCACTGCTTTCCCATCCCAGCATTGTGATTTGTTACACAGGTATGCTTTGTTCATGAATCTCTGTATCCTGGATTGTAGGACTGAGAAAATCACTGCATAAGAGGCCTGAGAATCATAAGTTCACTGAAGAAGAAGCCAGCTTTATTCAGAGGGCTTTTCCTGAATTCTGCTGTTTGCTCCAGAAATAATTAGTTAAGATTTTTCTAACTTCATGTCGTCCAAATGTGTTAGGATTACAGCTTGCAAAACAATGAGTGCTTTTCAGTGTTTTTAGGATTGCAAAAAGTTTTAGGTTTGTAAAGTTCTTTGTGTTTACAGACTCACTTTGAACTCCTGATGTTCTTCTGCGTGTTCTGAAGGATGTTCTTTTCTAGGTCTAGAGGAGAGGAGAGCAATTTAGGAGAGGACAAGTAAACATACGTTGTTGCCCTTGGTAGTTAAAGCTTGGGATTATTTTCAAGCTTTAGTCTACATTGATTCATTCATCATTCATTTTAGCATTGTCTATCCACTGCAGGATAGCACTTAGCACTAGCATGTAGACTTATATACCGCTTCATAGTGTTTTACAGCCCTCTCTAAGCGGTTTACAGAGTCAGCATATTGCCCCCAACAATCTGGGTCCTCATTTTACTGACCTCGGAAGGATGGAAGGCTGAGTCAACCTTGAGCCTGGTGAGATTCGATCTATCAAACTGCTGGCAGCCAGTGATCAGCAGAAGTAGCCTGCAGTACTGCACTCTAACCACTGCACCACCACGGCTCATGATGAAGGCCTCTTCCACATGTTTCCAACCAATATGGGTGTATTGGCATGTGGAAGGAATAGACCATAATCTGCCATGCTGGTCCAATGCGGGTTGGCAGATGTGATCAGTGTTAGTCTGGAGTATTTCTCATGGTCTGTTCGCCTTGGGAGACCCTTTTGGATATATACATGTCATAGTCCACAATTTCATTTACCCACACAAGCCCCTCCGCCCTGATCATAGAAGGAGTAGTCTACATTACTGTGCAGCTAAATAAGAAATATAAGGATGTTGCAGAACCTTATCTTTTATGGAAGTTGCTGACACTCAGCCTGTTGACGCAGTAAGCTGTGATATTATACGCAATATTTATTTGTATAATAATTGGGTGTTTTCTCTCCCCTTCTCTCTTAGCACTAGAAATTGCCCTTGCAAGATGAATCACTTTTCCCGGAAGAGCTCCTCAGAGATTCCACAGTTGGAATACAGGCTGTCCCAGACAGACTCATCAAATAATCTAGCAATGGATACCTTTTGGCTCGAAGTAGAGAGCATCAAAGAAAGCACTGAATCTGAGGCTGATGAGGGCAGCCTTACAGAAGCCAAGATTCTAGAAGGTAAGAAGTAACTGTAGCTTACTAGAGATCGACTTGAAAATATGTTTTTCAAACAGTAGTTTACTGGGCACAGCAGTTGTGGCAAATGATAAGCTCTTTCAAGTAATCCTTGTTTTGTTCTTGAGATAAAAGCTATTGTGAAATGTGAGACAAAGAAAATTGTAGCCAAAGCAAATGAATTATCTAGGGAGATGGTGGTATTCCTTTTTTTAAATTATTTGTATTGAAGTAGAAGCTGAAAATTTTCTTGGGGATGATGTTTCAGTTTAAATACTTTTCTTAAGCAAGGAGTTGAACTCAGCAGTCTAAATGATGCCTTCTGACTTGATGATTCTAAATGCTAATATGTTTTGCATGATTAAAAAAAAACTTTAGGGGAAGAAGTTTAAACATGTTTATTATTGTGGAACATGGAGCAGCAAAAGTGTTCCAGTTCTTTGACCTCACCATCGTTCTGTCATCACTAAAGTTTGTGACTGGATGAAGCCTATCCATGCTTGTTATTGCCCTGTTATAGTTTCTATTATGAAAACTTGTCTCCCAAGGCTCGGAGAATCAGGGTCTGGAGATTTAAACAAAGTTAGGAGCAAATAGTTCAAACTTTTTTCTCCTCTTGCCAGGATCAGAATTTTTGGCATACATTTCTGTTTTTTAATTATATGTAAAGGTTTGATTGTCTTCATGCTTACTTGGTCTTGAAACAGGAACCAACTCCCCCAAGTGCAATTGTTTCTAAATTCACATTTTGACTTTCTGCAGCACTGTTGAAAAATAAAAGTTTCAGAAAGAAAGAAACTTCCCACAAGTTTATCACAAGTATAAACTGTTCAACTATTTCTTCACCTCCTCTTAGTTAACAAATACATGAATCAGGGGTGAAATGTAAAATTTGTTACTACCGGTTCTGTGGGCGTGGCTTGGTGGGGTGGGTGGGTAATGTGACTGGGTAGGCGTGGCCAACTTTTTTTTTTTTAACTTTTTTCTAATGCTTTGAAAAGCCTCTGCTGATCAGGCAACTCAGCTGGGATCGTCAGAGAGGCTTTTTAAAAAATGCCTCTCTGATGATCAGGCAACTCAGCTGGGATCATCAGAGACTTTTCAAAGCATTTTTTTCACCACCTCTTCCAAGAGGTTGCAGAAAAAAATGCTTTGAAAAGCCTCTGACGATCCCAACTGAGCTGCGAGATTATCAGAGGCTTTTTTTTTAACTTTTAAAAGCATTTTTTCGTCAGAAGAGGTTGTAGAAAAAATGCTTTTAAAAGTTTTTTAAAAAAAAAAAAAAAAAACCCTCTGATGATCATGCGGCTCAGCTGGGCATGGCGGGGGAGGGGGCGCAGGGATTTTTGCTACCGGTTCTCCGAACCACCCGCCACCATCGCTACCGGATTGGGTGATCCGGGAGCATTTCACCCCTGACATAAACTCTTCACCCCATAATTCAACTCTTAATTTTAGGCAAATCTAATAAATAAGTTTTTCAATCCAGGTGTTAGCAAAAAGTCTTAACAGAGTTCTGAAATAAACAAATTTGTTAACTAATATAAAACAAAATATAAAACTCATCATTCCATCTTGAATCTTAATTAGAAGCAAATTCAGTATACAATGTCTTTTCCAATCCAGATATCAGCAAGGCTAGAAAGAGCCTCCAAATTAACAACTAACCCATTTTAAACCTGGTCAAATATATTTCTTCTTTTTATATAAAACAATCCTTTTTTATCCATTAATCCTTGACTCAAATTTTTACAAAACTTTCACAAGCTTCTTTTGTAAGTTCAGCAAGAAACAAAATTGCAATTACTCTGTTTTTTCTTTGCTTTTTCTTCAGATCATATAAATCTTTACTCTCATGGTGAGCATTGTCTTTTAATTTTTAGAGATTCGTTCACTGTTTTCAGTCATAAATTCTTGTTCACATTGCTTTTCATAATAATTTCAAATATGTTTTTTTTCTGCTGCAATAACTTCTGGGACAGGGTGTTTATGAAAACATGCAGAGTATAGCTGACAATGTTGATTTAAAGTCCAATTGCCATTCCTCAGCGATAACTCTGAATTCCAGTATAAGTTGCTTATCTTGTTATGTCTCCAATATTGAAACTATTTTTCTGAAAAAAATGCATTTATTCTTTAAAATTAATGTCAGCATGTCTGAATATTCAAAATAAATATTACAACTTTTTCTGAGCCCTTAATTTATTTAAAACTTTATATAGTCAAAACATTGTCTTCCTTTTTTGTTGTTTATTTTGAATTTGTAAACTTTTAAAGATACCGTTTCATTTTTTTATGCTAAAGATTGAATACACTCAGCCTTGTCATTTTGAAGGTGTCAAATTTCTTTAAAACAATAAAAGGTGGTTTCCAAAGCCATGTTAGGAAGGAAGGGCAATTGTAGTGTCCTTTAAAGCAGGGATCTCCAACCTTGGCAACTTTAAGACTTGTGGACTCAACTCCCAGAATTCCTCAGCCAGCTAAGCTAAGCTAAGCTGGTTGAGGAATTCTGGGAGTTGAAGTCCACAAGTCTTAAAGTTGCCAAGATTGGAGACCCATGCTTTAAAGGGTCAAACTGCAGCTAGAGCAAGAATGGTAAATACTAAATTCCCTCAGGTCCTGATTTTCCCCAAAGACAGCTGCATTTCAATTTTCTTGTGAGAAGCAAACATATTGAGTGCAATGTGGGCAATCTTTATTTCCTCTCTCCAGAGAGGGTCAATGGACCTAATGTATTTGCAGGCTTCTTTTCTTTGCCACAGTTGTTGGCTCCTCAAAATGCTGGGCCATCTTCAGTTTGCCATTTCTTCCCTAGAAGTCTAGGAATGTTCCTTGGCCTAAATTTCATAGGCAGTACTGGGAGAATAAAACTAACTGATTTTGTATATACAACTGGTAAACTGAGCATATTCCTAAGGCAAAGTCTGGGAAGTCTATGAACTAAGCCTTAGATAGATATTTCATGTAAATTTGGACAGATGGATTGATTTGCTTTCTGCTGTTTTCTGCTAGGCAGATAAAGAACAACAGTAGAGTATCTCATTGTTGATGTGAAGACTTTGACAAAAGAAAAACTGTCTCTGTGCTTGGAAAGTAGTATGGTGTGTGCATTTCTTTGAAATATCCTTATATTTTCCTGGCTTCTAAGTAATTGTTACCTAATGGAAAGAAGTGAAAGAAATGAATGCACTCTGTCAAGTAATGGGACTATTCTTGGAAATGAAGAACACCTCATTTACATTTCAAGGTGTCACTGATTCCCAACTATGGGATGTTACACTTTTAATTCATACCAGGCTAAGCCTAGGTTCATTGTAGAGTTATGCTGGTTCTGCAAATTCTTCCAGGACAGGAGAACCAGATTTTTTAAAATTATGACACTACAATGTATAGTTTCTAATTCTTGTTTGGTCGCAGTTTGTGATTCGTTAAGATTGAAGATAACTTTTACCTAAGCCTGATACAGGAGCCGTGATGCCACAATGGTTAGAATGCAGTATTGCAGGCTAATTCTGTCGTCTGCCAGTAGTTCGATTCTTCCATCCTTCAGAGGTCGGTAAAATGAGGACCCAGATTGTTGGGGGTAATATGCTGAGTCTGTGAACTACTTAGAGAAAGGGCTGTAAAAGCACTATGAAACGGTATATAAGTCTAAATGCTATTGCTATACAAACACATTTGGGAGGGGGAGGCAGCGGGAATGCCATGTCCCCATGATGTCTTCTTTATCTTGTTCTTAGTCTATAAGTCTTTCTTTTTTATGATATCATCCAGGGGAGGAAATGTGTAACATCTATTAGGCTTCATCACTCATTATCTTGAAAAGAAGTCAGAATTGGAAGTACCTAGAACAGAGGCAAGACAGAGAGGATAGAGGTCAACTGTAGGGATTGCAAATGTCACAAGTGGTTTTTTTCCAACTCAAGAATGGGTGGAGAGCATTTCAGCTCAGCAGGGGAAGTCTCCTAAGAAGAGTTGGGCTTTAAATAGATGCTTCCCTAAATATGCTGAATATCTGGTTAGATGTAATGAAAAATGAAATTAAAAATGTGTCAGAAAAAAATTCTCTTCTAAGAAGAACTGGGGGAAAAAAACTTGCTGGGAATTTTTTTTTTTTTTTTTTTTATTACTCATGTGCGGTGTCAAAATGAAACAAACATAGCTCTTTGTGTGTATCTATGAAGAAAGATGAAAGACACAGAGAAAATAATGTCGTAAACAAGTCTCTTCCGAAATAATGTGTGTTGTGGAGTTCCTGGTGCTCTTTGAGTTTCGTTGTTTACTTGCAGACATTTCATAATCTGAAATGACAACATCATCTGCACATCAGTGCATTATCCGAATGTGTGTTGTTTAGAACAAATATTGCATTAATTCATTAGCCTTAATGTATAGTAGCTCACTAAAAAAAAATTAGGATTAAAAGTGTACAAATACATAAAGAAAGGATTTGGAAGAAGAATACTGAACTAAGCATTGGAGAAACAAGATTTTGCAACAATAATCAAATATGTAAGGAATATGATGAAAATTTTTGTAAAGTAACTTTATCCAGAAACAATTTTTTAAAAATCAGCTTTCTAATAGAGATAGATGACATCTCAAGTCATGCTTTCAGCATACAAAGCTAAAGAAATGGCGGAAAAGCGTTGAGTATAGAATATAAGAAATGTGTACATTTATTTATTTATTTATTTATTGGTTCGATTTATATGCCGCCCTTCTCCGGAGACTCAGGGCGGCTTACAATGCGTTAAGCAATAGCCTTCATACTTTTGTATATACCTGCTTAGTAGGGCTTTCGGGCACCCTAAGCAGTATTCTTTTTTATACAAAGTCAGCTTATTGCCCCCACAATCCGGGTCCTCATTTTACCTACCTCGGAAGGATGGAAGGCTGAGTCAACCTTGAGCCTGGTGAGATTTGAACTTGCAGTAATTGCAGGCAGCTGGCAGCTAAGTGCTACTTAACAGCACTTTAGTCTGCTGCGCCACCAAGGCTACATGCTACTTCTATCTTGATTCGGTTTGCATGGATGTCCATTTTGAGAAGGTGACACCAGAAGGTGTCTAATATCCGATGAGGATTTGACTCAAGGAAATAAGATGGGTATTTAAATAGGACTGGGAGTTTTGCAAGCAAGCCTACTGGGCCCTTTCAGCCCTATCATTCAGGGAAAATAATAGGAGCTTCTTAAGATATCTTTGGTTAAAGACACATTTGTTTAATTTTTACAATTGTGTGTTTTCCAAATTATTCTGTGACGAGTCACACAGAACGTTTAGACTAGGCATTAGGTTGCTTGTAGTTGAGGGTGCCATGACAATCTAGGCATTGTCTTTTCATGTTGCATGAGCCGTTAACCAATAATAATAACATTTTAATGCAACAACAGCTGTTGTGTTTTATAGATCCAGATTCAGGCTTTCACAATGTTGTGTGAATCCATCCTTTGAATAGGAAGTGCTATGCTGTTTGTTAACCTTGCTTTTTTCATTCTTCCTTGCCTCTCAGAGGGCGAAGCCGAAGCCGAATGGCTGCAAGATGCAGGACTCTCTGATCTAATGAAGGACCATGAAGAGAATAGCAACATTGTCCTGCTGTCCACTTTGACCAAGACTCAGGCCGCAGCTGTGCAGCGAAGGTTGGATACTTATACCCGTTCCCGACGGAAGAAAAATAAGCAGCCTATCCGTGATGTCAGAGACATTTTTGGAGTAGTTGAATCTGGGGTACGTTCCTTTATATTGTTGTTTTGCATTAGCTCTTCTCACTATTTCTAGCTCCAACAATTTAGAATTATTGAATAATTCTAAAATTGAAAAAGAAAGTCAGCATTTTATCCATTTTTAAAATGTATCAAACTTTGTAACCTTATCACTTAGATATTTTTTAGAGAATGGGTGATTTAAGTGTAACATAAAATACTATGTTTTTCAGTATTAGGAAAAATAATAGTATTTTTCGGACTATAAAACGCACCGGAGTATAAGACTCACCAGGATTTCGAAGAGGTAAACAAGAAAAAAAGTTTTTGCCACCAGGAGCACTCCGCAGGCCTCCCAAACCCTCTGCACGTCCCATTTTTGCGAAAAACGGAGCCTGCAGAGGGTTTGGGAGGCCTGCAGATTGCTCTTGGGGGCTGGGGAGGGCAAAAACGCCCCGTTTTTGTAAAAAACGGGCCTGTTTTTGGCCTCCCAAATCCCCCACATGTCACTTCTTGCCTTCCCCAGCCCCCAGGAGCACTCTGTAGGCTTCCCAAAACCTTTGCGCGCCCCGTTTTGTGAAAAACGGGCTTGTTTTTGGTAAAACCGGGATGCATGGGGGCAGGGTGTTGGGAAGCCAAAAATGGTTATATTCGGTGTATAAGACACACCAACATTTCCACCCTCTTTTAGGGGGGAAAAAGTGTGTCTTATGCTCTGAAAAGTATGGTAATTGTTTTCATAAAAATATGTGTTAATCGTGAGTGATCAAAACCATCAAAATGCTTTTTCTTGATTAAACAGGGAGGATATTTTCCTTGTTAGCAATTTCAGTAATTTTCTCAACTTTGTGTACCCCAGGCAAATTTTTAACTGAGAGAGACCATATGAGCCTCTAATACATGCTTGACTTACAACCACAATTGAGCCCAAAATTTCTGTTGTTAATCAAGACAGTTCTTATTTGAGTTGTTCCCCATTGTATGACCTTTTGCCATGGTTGCTAAGGGAATCGTTGCAGTTGTTAAGTGAATCTGGCTTTGCTTGTCAGAAACTCCCTAAAAAGGTTGCAAATGACAATCCCAGGATCTCGGACTTTAACCATTGTAAATACATGCTGATTGCCAATCATCCAAGGTTTGGTCATGTGACTATGGGGATACTGCAGTGCTCATAAGTATGAAAACTGGTCATAAGTCACTGAAAAAAAAGTGACTTTGTGAACAGTCATTAAACAAATGGTTGTAATTCGAGGACTACCTGTACTGAGTAATTGTTATTGTCTCATGGTTAGAAAATCAGTTAAGCTTGCTGTGCTCCACAACCATAATGTATCCCAAATCTGTCTCATATAAAGGAGAAAAAAAATATTTCTCGGACTCAGAGTGACCCTCTTAGAGTCTACAATACAGGTAGTCCTCAACTTACAACAGTTCGTTTAGTGACCGTTCAAAGTTACAATGGCCCTGAGAATACAGACTTATGACCGTTTTTCACACTTATGATTGTTGTAGCATCCCCATCAAAATTCAGATGCTTGGCTACTGACTCACATTTATGATGGCTGCAGTGTCCTTGGCTCATGGGATCCCTTTTGCCGCCTTCTGACAAGCAAAGTCAATGGGGAAGCCAGATTCACTTAACCGCCAGGTTACTAACTTAACAAACACAACAATTCAGTTAACAACAGTGGCAAGAAATGTCGTAAAATGGGGCAAACTCACTTAACAAATATCTCACTTGGCAACCTAAATTTTGGGCTCAATTGTGTTTCGTAATTCGAGGACTACCCATCTTTGCTTTTTGACCTTTGACCATATTACCCTGACAACAGGAGTTTTAATATGAACTGGATTTTAGCTGTGAATCTTAGTTCTTATTTCCAGCACTGCAATCATTGAAAATCCCTAAATATATACTAGAATGATTTTTTTAAAATAATTAAAGTAAGGGGCATCACTCCATGGCATCCAGATAAAAAGATAGAATTTTCAAGTGTGCTTTTCCCCCCCTATCGTGCTCTTTGAAATGATGAAAGATTTACTCAAATTGTACTTGACTTGATGACGTTACATCGATGTCATATGATTATCTTGCCAGAAATACAGATGGCTGACCATTGCTCCATTCTAAGATACTTTTTTCATCTCTCTGGTGTAGCCTATAGCCCCAATATTTTCTGGTAGTTATCCTTTCAAGGATAATCTGGTTTAACCTAGGTAAGCTTTTTGAAATCAGCTAAGGTCGGCTACATGCTGCCATCTGCTGGGCTTCAGAATGATATCAAAATCCATTTTGTTCATAATATTTAACAAACTTCCTTAGAAATGATTAATTATTGACAATCAATTTTGATTTTGAGGGGCCATCTCCATTATGTTGTACTAACAAAGTTGCATTTTAATCTCAAATTTAGCTTAATGTAATACGTGAATCAGTCTTTGTAAACTAGGAGTTTTACACATATTTGACTTTCTAAAAAAAATAAAATAAAAACATAATTATTGTAAGTATCGCATTTTGAAAACATTTTCAGGTTTTTATGTTCAGTGTTGGGATATCCTGCAATCAAAACAATAAACTTACTACTTATTTAGGTTACACATAAAATAGCTCACTGATGCGCTAGAATGCATGCTTTAAACAAGCCGTGGTTTAAGTGTGATATGTGAATTCACTGGCTTTTCTTGCATTCCCTGCCTAGGAGACTGAACCAGTGATGGAGGCTGAAATGGATCGACCTCACCGCAGGTCTGCATCATCTAACAACCTTCAAAAATGTAAGAAACATTACTGCATTGCTATGAATAGAAATTAGGAATATACTCTTTAGAACAGGGGTGTCAAACTCAAGGCGAAGGATCGGCCCGCGGTGCCTCTATCAGCAAAAATGGAGCCTGATAATTTTATCAGCTTTCATCTTAATAAAATTAATTTGGGAGAATTTCAGATATAGGAGCCGTGGTGGCGCAGTGGTTACAATGTAGTATTGCAGGTGAATTCTGCTGACTGCCAGCAGTTCGGTGGGCTCAATTCTCACTGGCTCAAGATTGATTTACCTTCCATCCTTCTGAGATTGGTAAAATGAGGACTCAAGATTGTTGGGGGCAATATGCAGTCTCCTTGCAATGCTGTCTTATAACTTCCTCACCTCCCCACAAAATAATAGTGCTTTTTACATTATAAAAAAATGAGGAACTGAAGTAGATAAAACCAGCTAGGTGGGAACACACAGATCTTTAGTTAATTGTTGCAGTAACATTTTTGCAGAGCAATCATATCTTGCTTAGAATAGAGTGAATGAATACAGTACATCTGGCTGGAATTCTTAAGAGCAAATTTTGTCATTCCATGTCAAGTGGTCTGGGGGTCCCTGCTCAACCATCACAGAGTTCGATGAAATTTTGTGTGAACATGCACACATGTCCCCAATGAACATTGATAAAGTGTTAACGTGTGCCGATGCAATTCTTGCAGAGATATAGGCATTTGTGTGACCCTATACCGCAGCCTTCTACAGTATGACGCTGAGGTTCCAGCAACTTTAAGACATAATATCTCTGGCAATATTTTGTTGAGATAAACAAAACTTGGCCATCTTGTACGACTTTCTGTGCTCTAGTAAACAAAATAATAAAAACATTCTCATGAGTGATCTTCATTTAGATAATTTGGAGCAAAGTTGGCTGAAAATAGTGCAGCTTGAAAAAAGGTTAAAGTTTGGCTTTTTATATCTCTGGAAGGAAAGGTGAAACGTGAAACTTTGTTTGTAATAACTTGTGCGTAAAATCTGTGATAGTTGAGCGGAGCACTTTTCTGAAATCAGACCACTTGACATGGAATGATATGTGCTATATTATCTTTACATGACAAAAATTATTGAAAATAAAATTATTGGGTGAGCTCAACTTGATTGAACAAAATGATTTCATTTAAAAAATATTGATTGACATAATATTGAAATCCTTCAAAGACAACTGGATTTTCAAATGGAAAGGGCATAGTTAAACTTTTGGGCTTGTATGTTAACATAAAGCTTTTTATTTAACCTCTTTATTCTGGATATAAAACCTAGATTATTTACATTTGATTAATACTTGGTTTTAGGACCCTGGGAACCATTTATTTTAAAAAGCAATCTGTATTTCTGTAGACTGATTTTAGTCAGTAGATAGAAGTATAAATTTCTATCTTGTATTTACGTTCCTTTCTTCATTCAATTTTTTAAAATTTTTAGATCCAGTGGGAATCCCGGACTTTCAGTCTCCACTGAGAGATTCTGTGAGAGAAGAATTATTCAGCACTGAAGTTGCCTATTCAGAGCAGGCTGCAATCCTGCTCAAAGGATCATTCCCAAGGGAAACCAGGAGAATAAAGGAAGAGAGCTGTTTGTCTGTAAGGCTTCCAATGTTTTTAAACCAGGGTTGACCATACCATGGATGTACTTCCATTTGTAACCACTCCCAGAAATGATTAGGGAACTGGAGGCTAAAACATACGAAGAACAGTTGCATGAATTTGGTATGGCTAGTCTAGAGAACAGAAGGACAAGGGAGACATGATAGCAGTGTACCAATATTTGAGGGGCTGTCACAGAGAGGAGAGGTGGGACGTGGCGGCTCAGTGCTAAGAGCTGAGCTTGTCAATCGAAAGGTTGGCAGTTCAGCGGTTTGAATCCCTAGTGTGCATAATGGAGTGAGCTCCTGTTACTTGTCCCAGCTTCTGCCAACCTAGCAGTTCAAAAACATGTAAAAAATGCAAGTAGAAAAATAGGGACCACCTTTGGAGGGAAGGTAACAGTGTTCCGTGCGTCTTTGGCATTTAGTCATGCCGGCCACATGACCACGGAGACGTCTTTGGACAGCACTGTCTCTTTGGCTTTGAAATGGAGATGAGCACCACCCTTCAGAGTCGGGAACGACTAGTACATATGTGTGCTAATACCTTTACATTACACAGAGAGCAGAGGCTCAACCTGATTTCCAAAGCACCTGAAGTCCAGACAAGGAATAATGGATGGAAACTGATCAAGGAGAGATTCAACCTAGAAATAAGGAGGAATTTTCTGACAATCAACCAATGGAACAGCCTTCAGAAGTTGTGGGAGCTTCATCACTGGAGGCTTCTCCATTGAGAGTGGAGACAGCAGCCAGGATGGGTAGCAGCAGCCAATCAGCATGAAGGACTGAGTCTATCAATAATATCAAGTCCTGCCCTTGTTGCCGGGCAGACCGGCTTTAGACTCAGTCCTTCAGCTTGATTAGGCGTGTGGGTCTTTAGCTCTTACCCTTTCTGGCTATTTAGCTCTGTTTATTTGGATATTTCTGGTTTTTGACTTCGGATTCCTCGACTGCGATTTATTGGCTTCCTCCCTGATACTGTATCTCTCCCCTTTTTTTTTGGAAACTAACTTTATTACATGGATGCCATGCAACCTCCTAGAAGAAGCTGAGTTACAATTAAGTTTTACCCATCCTTGGAAAAGGTTTTTATCTATTCATTATAGATAATGAATAGATAAATTCATTATCATCATCATCATCATCAAATTCATCATCTTTGAAGAAAGAATTTTCTCAGAATTACAAAGTGGACTGAGATGTCACACTAATTTCTTCTTTTTTGATTCTTTGATTTAGAAGTTTAAGATCCCCAAGGGGAGGCTAGGAGTAACCAGGACAGAAGATCTGTCCCTGCAGGACCTGAAGAAAATTCCTACCCTAGCACTTATTGAACTAACTGCACTCTGTGATATTGTTGGCTTTGAGCTGAAAAGGAACAAGGCAGTTAAACGAAAGTCATCAGGTAAATTGTTTTTCATCCCTCCCCCCTTTTTTCCTATGGTACTTACAATGTGTGTTTCCTGAAATTGGTGGGGCAGGAGGAAAGGTACAATTGCTGAGTGACAAATGGGGAAGCTTATTTGATAGCCGCTTGCCACTGTGGTTTGGGAAAGGGATCTCCAATCCCCAGGCTGTGGACTGGCACTGGTCCGTGGCCCACCAGGCATTGGTCCATGCAAGTGAACAAAGCCCCATCTGCATATATGTGGGATGCAGGTAGGACATGGAACCACACACACCCACTCTGTGGAAAAACAGCTCTATACGGAATTGGTCCCTGGAGCCAAAAGGTTGGAGGTTGCTGGTTTGGAAGATGCAATCTCTCTGCAAATTTGTATATGCAATTTCTGTTCCTATTTGAATTGCCACTAGGATACCGTTGGAGACTAAATCACATAATAGTTTTGGGGAAAAACAGAGCCCTATTCAGAAAACAAGAACATATTTTTCTAGGATGATTTGCTCTGTGAGAGGGGCAATTATGGTTAGGAGAGAATAGATGAGGAGAGAAAAGGTAATCTTACCTTCTCTCTGTTCTGCAAGCCCAAATGCAGTCTATCTGTTCCTCAGTACATTCTGCCCAGCTTCTCTGTCCAACTCTTCATCCTTTGTACGATGGAGATTCCTGGCACCTGAGTTGTGGGGGCGGGGTTGTACAAGAAATGAGCTTTCAACAAGTCTCCACACTGCATCCTCTACATGCTTCAGTATTCACTAGCCAGTTCAGTATTAAGGGAAGGTACCATGTTCTCCAATCATCTTCCTGTAGTCACGACTCTACTGCTTATACCATCGCGGTGGTATTGCTGGCATAGCTTGGCCATTATTGCTATCACATCAAGGAGCCAGCTGAATTGGAGCCTAGTCTCAATCAGCCTTCATGGATATTGCAGCTCATGATTAGATCTTACATCTTTTCTATTTCTCCTTGAATATGTCATTGTAAAATGTTCACAATATTTTCATAATATTGCTTGACCATACAAACCTGTCATGAGTCAGAAGTATAGCTCATGTATCTTCTTTTAATGACCCCATAATCCCTTGCAGAGTGAAGTCTGGGCAACTGAATGGAGCTGAGTGTTTACTGGCCAGATGCCCTTCCTGTCACCAATGCAGAGTTATATTCAGCAGATATATTCTCATTGTGCCCAGGGAGAAATATCTACCTCTACCTAGGATCGAACTCACAGCCTCCTGATTGTGAGGCAAGAGTTCCACCTCTAGGCCACTGCACCACAAGTATAGTCCACAAGTATATGTATGGTGGCTATTTTTTGGTTTATTCCCACCAGTCTTCTTCACAACTGATGTTAAACTAAAAGCTATTTTCTCTCCTGTTTCATGGTGGCTCAAGTAAAGTCCAGGGTACAGTCAAGAAAACAGGCAAATGGCAGGCAGAACTAGAGAACAACAAGAGAAAGCTGAATAATAATAATGATAATAATGACTCATGAAATAAACCAAGGGAAAAGGACTTTTAAGAGATTTTAAAACAGAATTGGATAACCTGGAATATACTTTTGAAAGTAACTCATAATCACCATAATCACTCATTCTGGACCAGTTGGAGCCTCCGGGTGCTCTTCAAGGGGAGCCCCATGTAAGAATTGAAGTATTAAAAAGGGCAAGAGATGATGGATAGAAAGGAATTATTATTACGTTTCTCCCCTTTTTTCTAATATAATGATGGCCTGATTAAAAACTAGAATAGAGGTAGAAATACCTTTATATAAAGCAGTAGTTATATGGAAAGATTGGAGGTTGAAAGATGGTATTATTAGGTATGTTTAAATAATAGGATGACTGGTACTTGAATGGCGCATTGTGACTTTGAACAATCAAATTATGAAGGACTATGTCTTAATATAAACAAGTGTATTAACAATAGGATTAGTAATGGTGGGCTGACTAGAAGTTAGAATAGAGGTAGAAATAAGAAATAGGGGGAATATTAGCAGATATAATGTTTATATAATAGAATATAAGTGATAATTAGATGGCAAGATTAGAGGTTGAAAGAGGATATTACTATGTATGCTTAATATCATTGGCATTAAAATGGAACATTGAAATATTGAATAACTACTCTAAAACAATCAATATAATTGATAACAATAACAATATAAACAATACTAGGATTATATAAGTCTGATTAATGTAACAACTATTATTACCATTTCTGTTTGTATCAAAATGAATTATACCCAGAGGCCACACTGTTCATGTATTGATATTGATGTATATTTAAAAATAAAAATCCAATAAAACTTTAAAAAAAGAGAGAAAGAAAGCTGAATTGGTGGACATCCTAATCACATTATGGTCTTGCTGTTTTAAGTACAGTTGTTTTTCCCTATGGTCTACTAAGCTGTCTTTATTTGTTCAAGTTTTTGTTTTGTTTGAGAGATGAAATAGTTTTAAATATAAGTGGCTTTTCTTGCAGACCACAAACTTTTTGGAGTTCCACTTGGCACTTTGCTGGAAAATGATCAAAAGCTTCTTTCAAACACCCGGGTTCCACTGATTTTACAAGCGGTAGGTTCATTTTATATCTCTTGTTGTTATCAATTCTGTGTTTTGAATTTGGCTGCATTATTGTTGCTTTCTCGTGATGATTTGCCCTTTTGCTTCACAGTTGCTTTCATGTTTGGAAAAGAAAGGGCTGGATACAGAAGGAATCCTGAGAGTTTCAGGGTCACAGTCCCGCATTAAGGTACATTGCTGTGGTTTTTAATTCAGTTTCCTCTGGAGTTCTTTGGAAATTTATTGGGCAATCTTCATGAGAATATCAGCATTTGGACCATGTTTTTTTGGGGGGGGGAAGATCCATTTGATCTGCAGTATCATCCCCTATGATATATAGAAGTATATCATAGATGAGATCTAAATAAAAGTAAATAGAATGTAGACCGCAGTCCATCTGTGGGTTACTAGGCAATTTTTGGTAGACTATCGGACAATTCCTGGTGGCTGGATTGTTCTTTGGAATACCTCTGCTAAGTGTTGAGGAAGGGTTTTTATAAAATGGATGAATCAGTAGCCTTAGTATCCGTGGAAGGCCTGTGGAAGGCGGGAAAAATATGATGCACAAGACTCTTGGTATACTTGCTCATGTCTTCAACTGTTCAACTGACTAAAGAATTCTATCCAAATATGCAAGTGGGAATCTGAGCACATTGTAAGCCGCCCTGAGTCTTCGGAGAAGGGCGACATATAAATCAAATTAAAAAAAAAAAATCCCCCAGAATAAAAATCTCAATGAGAAAAAGAGAACCATTTCTCTTTATTTATTTATTTTAATTGAATGCAGTAAACACCACATTGGTTCTTACGTTCATGAAGACAGTGTATATTCTGATCACTTATCAAGCATTAGTTAGGTTTTAGCTCTCTGTGATTCTTTAGGTATAGTCTTAGATATCTGGCACATCATGCAGAATTTTAGAAGGATATAGTTGCTTCTGCTTGATGCAAAAGTTTCAGAAACATGTTAAGAGGTTTCTCAGGTGTCATAGCAATAGCACTTAGACTTATATACCAATTTACAGTGCTTTACACCCCTCTCTAAGCGGTTTCAAGAGTCAGCATATTGCCCCCAACAATCTGGCTCCTTATTTTGCTGACCTCGGAAGAATAGAAGGCTGAGTCAACCTTGAGCCTGGTGAGATTCAAACTACCAAACTGCTGGCAGCCAGTGATCAGCAGAAGTAGCCTGCAGTACTGCACTCTAACCACTGCGCCACCGCGGCTCTTGTCATGTTGGCTTAGAAAATTACATTATTATTAAATGTTATTATCTGTTCACAATATAGCGAAGTCTCAACTTCACAGTAACTCATTCACTTATTATTTATGCCTAACTGTATTTGGCTTGATAATAGCTTATCAAAGCTGATCATTTGACTTATAAATCATGGTTAACTGTTACATATAAGCAAAGCCACTTCAAATAATAGATAAAACAAGCCACGACTTAATGCAATATTGTAGTCAATCAGAGAATATGCTTACATTTGTTATTTCATGTTGGATAAAAAAGGAGTTTTGAGAGCTTGTACCTCAGGTATCTGACCAGAAAGTGGCAGCAGTGAGCAGGAAGAATGCCACTTTTGTTAAATTCAGAGGCATTAAAAAAACCCAATCTTTTCGATTATTGCTGCAGTAAATCATCGTGATGTATTCAATATGGACTGGAATACTAATCGGTTTTCCATCTCTTAGCAAGAGCTATTCAGTTTGTAAGGTGTGGTACTGTATTTTGTCACTGAGAAAATGCTATGTTACTGTTTTTCCTCACTTCCAAATGTTGATCCATCCATCGTTTGTTTCTGTAGCTGCATTTTAAGGCAGACAAGCTGTTAATGCAGATCACATTTCTCTCCCTTTCATCCAGGGGCTTATTTTAATCAAATACTCCAAAGCCTTTTTAACATCAAGGCATCTTTTTCCCTTTCCTCATTTTCTTCCGCTTGCATTAGTGTTTGGAACAAAAACTGGAAAATGAGTTCTACACTGGCTTCTTCCGGTGGGATGAGGTGCATCAAAATGACGTCTCTGGTCTGCTGAAGAGATTTATTCGAGAGTTACCCACGCCTCTTCTGACAGCAGAATATTTGCCTGCCTTTGCAGCTGTGCAGAGTAAGTGCCAGGCCAAGCAGAGAAGATTTCATATCCTTCAGCGCTCATTTTTTCTCGCCTTCCTTGGGAGGGTTTTTTTTTTTTTTGGTGGTATTACGCTGTAGTGGATGTGTTGCTGGACATATTTTGTAGCTGTCTGTGTCTATTTTCTTGCTTGGTCCTAAGGATAACTTTTATATAAGCTAAAAGTAGGTGCATCATCTGCTACCTCCTATATTCTTTGCTCCACTTGATTTATTGTATTTTTTTGTTGTTGTTAGTTGCAAAGTCGTGTCCGACCCATCACGACCCCATGGACAACATTCCTCCAGGCCTTCCTGTCCTCTATCTGGAGTCTATTTAAGCTCACACCTACTGCTTCAGTGACTCCATCCAGCCACCTCGTTCTCTGTCATCCCCTTCTTCTTTTGCCTTCAATCTTTCCCAGCATTAGGCTCTTCTCCAGTGAGTCCTTCCTTCTCATTAGGTGGCCAAAATATTTCAGTTTCATCTTCAGGATCTGGCCTTCTAAAGAGCAGTCAGGGTTGATCTCCTCTAGGACTGACCGGTTTGATCGCCTTGCAGTCCACGGGACTCGCAGGAGTCTTCTCCAGCACCATAGTTCAAAGGCCTCAATTCTTTGTTGCTCAACCTTCCTTATGGTCCAACTTTCACAGCCATACATTGCAACTGGGAAAACCATAGCCTTGACTATATACACTTTTGTTGGCAGGGTGATGTCTCTGCTTTTTAGTATGCTGTCTAGATTTGCCATAGCTTTCCTCCCCAGGAGCAAGTGTCTTTTAATTTCTTGGCTACAGTCCCCAACTGCGGTGATCTTGGAGCCCAGGGGAAATTTTTTTTTTTAAATTAAAATGGAAAAGGATGATGACGACAATATGCCTCAAAACAAAGCAGTGACATTGAGCATAATAATTTCCAAGAATTGGAACCTCAGAGTTCCTTCTGAGCTTGCAGAAGGAAATAAAAAACGATGTGTGCCTATAGCCCAGAGCTGTATTCAGAAGTGGTTCAGAAAGAAAGCTAGGATGATAACGGTGATCCTGGAAGGAGGGATAAAAAAAAGGTGAAGCATAAGCCCATCAATTTGCACTCTTATATATAAGGGCCTATCCACACCCACCCTGGTAAAGCCATTTTGTGAATAGAAACCTTCCCCTGTTCTGAGAGACAAACAAAACCCCATGTGTATCTTTCTTGCCCCACTCGCTCTAAGTGTTATGATTGTTCTTACACTTAATTTCCTACAGCTGTCTGGAAGAAGATGCAGTTTACCTAGGCATTATTATTTTTTTCCAAGTGATGCAATTGAAGTAGTCATAGAATGTTTGGTTAAATTGTTATTTGTGCACATTTTTTAATAACTCCAGCAGTTCCTATGATTGTAGCAGTTTTCCATCACTTCCCGTTTCTGATGCGGGTGACGTTGAATGCTTTGCATATGAGATGCATGAAATGAAGCAACGGGCTGTTCAGAATCGGGGTCTTAAGAGGTTTAATTCTCAAAAGAAATGCAATTGTTCTCTTTACTACAGATATCCCAGATTTGAAACAGAGGCTGCAGGCTCTCAATCTGCTCATACTGATTTTACCAGAACCTAACCGAAACACCCTGAAGGTAATCAGGCAAATGCTACCCAGGGAGCTATGACTTGAATAATTTCCAGTGGCAATAAATCACTGAATAAAAGCGGTAGATTGGTAATGCAAGTACATTGTTTTTTTGGCATAAGGTCTCAGATTCCCAATTTTCTCCAGCTGTTAGAATCTTAAGCTTACAATGTTATGCCTGTGCTAAATATTTGGAAACTAATTGAATAGGCTGATCAGGAATTTCCTGGACTTTAGACTAGTCTGGCTTTTTTTCCAGCCTTGGCAGCATGAAGATGTATTGACTTCAATTCCCAGAATTCCCCAGCCAGCCACTTTATTGTTGATATTCCTATAATAGCATTGAATGGAAAGTGTTCTTTTTAAAAGAAATGGGCAATGATTGTACCTCAGATATTGTGGGAATGCCACTCCCATCATCCCCACCCTTGCATACTGACTGGCATGATGGGACTTATGGGTTCAGCAATTGGGAAGAGCTCATTGTTCATAATTGCTTTAAAAATCCCACAAATTTGCATACATGTTGTTGTTGGCTGTTTTGTTCATCATCAGTCCTCATCATTCTGGCAAAATGATGTCCGCTTTGTGTTTCATCATTTCCTCTTCTTTTTGACAAAGCAGACATCATTTTGCCAGAATGATGAGGACTTGTTGGTGTCTGCTAGCCTCCATGCCCCATCAAATGTAGATTTTTTTTAAAAAAAAGTAAACAAGAGTTTATAGAATTGCAGAGAGAGAAAAACTAGCCTCTAGGAACATTTATTTCCAAAAATTGGCTTATTAACAACAACATAAAATTCCTGGATAGCTTCAAAATAGTGTTTGGTAATGTCTCTGCCAGTCAGGAAATAGCACATAAAGACTAGAAGACTTCCAAGGTCACTTCCAACTCTGATATATGATATGATATGGTGTGATGTATGGTACGATACGATACTAGTACTATACTATATGATACTATACTATATGATACTATACTATACTATACTATACTATACTATACTATACTATACTATACTAGTACTCTACTATACTCTACTATACTCTACTATACTCTACTCTACTATATTATACTATACAATAGGTACCAGTAATGCAGAAGTGTTAGGAATTTCTGCTAACTCATATAAGTTAAAGACTACAATGCCCAAACATCGAAATATTTTTGATGTGCAAAGTGGAAGTTCTATCTTACCTTTTTAGAAAGATCATAACTGAACAATTTACTTGGCTCAATTTGCAGATTTGGACAGAAGATAGGTATCATCAGTAAGCATTCGTTAATATTCAATCTCTCTGGAATCAAATTGGTTCTCTTCTCTCCTCTCTCAGGCGCTGCTGGAATTCCTCAGGCTGGTAGTTACCAAAGAAAGAAAAAACAAGATGAGCCTTTGGAATGTTTCCACTGTGATTGCTCCAAACCTCTTCATGCACAAGAGTTTGCCAAACAAGATCCCAGAAGGAAAAGAGAAGCAGCTGGCAGAAGGAGCAGCAGATATTGTTCGAATGATGATCCATTATCAAGCTTTGCTCTGGACTGTAAGTTAGGGGAAATGTTTATTTCCCAAATCATTCTTCAATTACCATGAGCAAAACTTAATGTAATATTTTTCTGCAAAGAGAAAAGTGTTGGTGAAAAGGATCCTTTTAGCATTTAAAATCACCTCCTTTCACTTTCTATATCATGCTGACAGTATTTACAAATTCCATTATTTAGATTCAAAATCGTTCTTCATGTATAAATTACTCTGATCAAAGAACTATCATTTTCAAGCAACCAGGAAATTTCCAACGTCAAATGACTGATGTAGTAATTGGACTTGTAAGAGGGATGGTGGATGTAATTAAACGTATCAAAAAACAAAAACAAAACACCCACACATTGGTTGTTTGTTTCTCCCATCTTCAGGAGATAATTCAGAATGATTTCATGGAGATTTCTGATATGAATGAACTGTATCACTGAAAGTTTGCACACCTGTCATTTTTCATATTTGCTTTAGGTTCCTTCTTTCTTGGTAGCTCAAATCAGAAAACTGAATGAAAACAGCAGCTGGAAGTATCAGTTCTATGACAGGAGGATCAAGAATCTGTTAAGAAAGATTCACGCAGACAAGGAAAAGACAGAAAAGAACAACATTGAAGTGAGTGATATCTCTGTTCAGCCATTTTGTATCACTAGGACAGGGGTATCAAATAGATTTCATTGAGAGCCGCATCAGGGTTGTGTTTGACCTTGGGGGGGCTGGCTGGGCATGGCGAGGGTGGGTGTGACCAGCTCGACATTACTCATGTTGGGGGCGCCTGTGGTGGCCCAAGCGCTCTGCCAGCTAAAATGGAACATGGCCCTCCCAAGCTCCATTTTTGCTGGCAGAGAGTTGCAGGAAGCTGTCATGGCCAAAAACGGAGTCTGGGAGGGCCATGTGTGCGAGCTCCATTTTTGTTTGCAGAGGCACCATGGGCTGGTCCTTCACTGTTTCCAGGGTTGCCCCAGGGGCGAGACCTAAGCACCCCGTGGGTCGGATCTGGCCTGCAGGCCTCAAGTTTGACACCCCTGCACTAGGACATCATAAATGGGACTAAAGCTATCTATCCTCCCTAATTATTTTGGTAAAGAAAATAACAGGGAGAATATGCTCATATTGATCTGTGCATCCAGTTGTAAGCATAGATAATTTGGAGGACAGGGTGGGTGCTGGAAAGGGTAGAAATGAAGTGCATCTGTTCTTAGTCCATGCATGAAGTCCTCCGTTTATAACCATTTGCTTAATAACAGTTTGAATTAATTGTGGCCTCTGAAAAAGTCAGTTAATGACCTAAATTTGAATTTGCAACCAACCCATGTGATTGCAAATCAAATACAAAGCAATTGGTTTATGACTAGTTGCACTGTCTTGCGGTTAAGTGATGACAATTAGCCATGTTTGTTGCTGATTTCCCCGCAAGAAAAATGCCATTGGTTACTATGGGTTTGCACTTAACAATCATGTGACTTGATTTACAACCACAGTAAAATGGTCATAAACTCAGGTCTGATCACATGGTGACTCAATTTATAACCGCAATGATTGACAATGGAAATTCTAATCCCAGCTGTGGTCGTAAAACAAGGAGTACCTAGAGGCTGATTTAATAGTCCATTCAAGGCACGTACACAAATGAAATGAGAGCCCACAGTATTGCTTCTCCTAGATGTTACAATCATATATAACGTGTCGTCTGAAGTGATTTTTTTAGTGACTTTGGGCTGTACATTCAGTTTTGATGTGCAAAAGAACATCAACATCCTGCAAAGTAGTTTCACGTGATTCTTGCAGGATTAAAAAGAAATGGGCTGTGGTTTTTTTTTTTTTTTTTTGGGGGGGGGGAACAAATGCCTTCAAGAAAAGTAAGATCTCTCCCTCATGTAAACACAAGGGGGCGGTCATGTTTTATCAGTTCTAGGCACTCATAATGCTCCTCTTACACGTGAAAGAAGTGGTTTTTAATCATTTCTTTATGGCAGTCACCCTTTTGTTTCTTACTACCTGGTGATGTAAACACAGCAGATATTTGGAGGCAAGAGTAACTCCACACCTTGATTAACTCAATATATCTCCACATTTGTTACAGATTTATTTTTAATTTGATTCTTTCTTCATATCTCTCTTATTGCCGTCCCTTTCTTTCAGCCTTGCAAAATAGTCAAAATCCAGGCTTCCTTGTTCTTAAAAGACTCACTGGAAGTTCATTTAACTCACGGAACAAAAGTAGCTGATGTTCTGAGACAATTCCAGAAAAACCTTGGTCAGAATGGCTGGAACATTGTCAGCACAGTCAATATAATCAAATGGTAATAATTTCCCATTTTCTCCCTTACCCTCAGCCTAGCATAGCTAGGATTTGGTTTTACCTGTATGTTAAGCAGGAGGAATTTGAAAATATGAGTTAAACACATTTTAAAGGAAACAAATCTGTCTCTGTGTTTTCAGTAGCTAGAGAAGTCAGCTCAATCACAGTATGCAGAGTTTCAGTGAGCGCTTGATGATTGATTGATTTTTCATTACTGAAGGAGGCTTTAATATTTTCCAAATTTGAAGGTGTTTTCTGGGGAATGTATATTAAGCTGTTAAGTGTATCTGTACATTACAATACTTAAAAATAATTAATTACAAGATAAAAAAACTTCTTTATGACTAATGTAGTTCTGTACTTTACTACCATGAAAATTAGAATACTCCTACATAGTAACTGAAAGAAATTCCTCTTCGTCTTATCATTGACAAAAAAATCCTAAAGTTAAAAGCATCCAAATTAACGCAAGCATGGCTCTGCAGATTAATATCTGGTGTAACGAAACCATCTCTTGACTATGAGGCACTGCAGAGATGGAAGAAGATACTGATATTTAGTATCCATGGCAACCAGACTCATTCCACTTTGAGGAAGAGATTCCAACAAATATGTACATGTTGCATTAGATTGCCACTCTTTGAAAAACACTTTTTCTGGTTTTAAAATTGCCCTCCCGTACAAATATAGTCAATCTGAAGGAATCTGTTTCTGAAGGAAGTAGGAGATGTGAAATATTTGCTTAGAAAGTGTGAAAAAGCGACTTTATTTTGTTTTCCTTAAAAACGGGTAATGAAAGTTTGGGATAGGCTTTAAATATTCTTTTATATGCCCTACAACACTAAAGTAGCATTCTTGAAATCACTGCTACGTCTGTTTCTTGACTTGGACCTACTTCAAGTGGTTAATATCAGGCATTTCCCTTCAAAACTAAAAGTGAGCAAAATAAATCTAAGCAACATCTTTGCTAAAGATATATTTGCATTTAATATGGCATGCTTAACGTGCTGATATTAAAATGCTGCATGTTTTAATTGGGAAGCTGTGTCAGAGCAAGATGGTTGGAGAAAATTTGAACTGTTGAACGCTCTGAAGTTTGAAGATTTATCCATGTAGTTATCCACAAATCCATAACCATGTACTTTTCTTGGGAGTAAATATCAAAGTGGTTTGCTATTGCTATTTTATGGTTATGGAAGAGTGGGGGCAGGTTGGATTTCCAGGTCTAGGCTTCAGCCTTGGTCCCTTATTCATGTAGTCCTATCCTGTTTCCCTTTTTGAGAGGGGCCTAGGTCAGCATGGTACCTAGATTTAAAGAAATTTCACATTATCAGCAGATGATGAAGATTGCTACTAAAGCTGGCTTTCTGAAGAGGAATTTTCTGCTAGCATGAGAAAAGTTTAATTTTGCTGCCAACTCTGATTTCTTTCTTGTCTCTTCCCCATTCAGTGCAATGTAATTTTAAAACAAGAAACCAGGCATCCGATGGAAAGAAGAATTTTGTCATGTGAATGTTATTCTTAGAGCATCAATGTCCAGTCTCTAGGGACCCTGCTTGTTAGCTGGTCCTTATGCTTTATAGTTTCTCTATAGTTGTAATTTGTAATCTTGATATTGGCTGGGATTCTTTTAAAACCTTTTGGGCCAAGCCCCAACCTGGATAATGCTATCAATTCTATTCTGGTACTGTGTTATAGAGACCTGAGCCTTCAAATTATGCTAATCAAAAGCTAGCTAAAAATATAGCAATATGTATAATAATTATTAGTTACAGTTTAGCAATCATGACTTAGATATGTGGTTGACTTAGAAAATCTTCTGATATAATTTGTATTTGTTTGAAGAGATTCCCTATGCATAGGAAGTAGTTTCCTTGTCTTCTTCAGTAAATAAAATATATGCCTGTTCAGTGGAAAAAGGAAGAGTGTGCCACAATAGATTTAAGGCATTAGCACTTAATGCTCTATTAATGGCAAACCTTTTCCACCAGGAGCAGTGCAGTTTGCCTTTAACACATTCAAGTATCTCTTGAACTGGCTGTTGAGCTAAGTTGAAATGTTGTCAATAGGTATTGATTTTTTTAGCCTTTTTATTTTCTTGGGAAGGTTGCCTTTTGCTAGGAGTTAAGAGAAGGAAGGGAATGTCTTCACTAGACTATTGTTCTCTTGAGCAGTTTTCTCCAGCGTGTGCCCTTCGGATGTGTTGTACACAACTTTCATAATCTCCACCTACCATGGTCAAATTATAGAAGTTAATTAAATGGATACTATGTCTCGAGCTGTAGAATCTTATGCAAAGATAAAATATAAAGACTGTAGAATCTATAACCCTACTCTCTCTTGCTGCTATTCCATCCCTGTGATAATTGTGTGGCTTTTTCGAGGTCAGCTACATGCTATTCACATGTGACTGATTATGTGTCATCAAGTAGGTGACCTGATGACCACATAAACCTCCTCCATGATGTTCTGTCCCCAACTTGGCCCTTCATGTCTTCCAATGGTAAATCCATTGCTACTGTAATTGAGTTAATCTGTCTTGCTGCTATCTGTCCTCTTCTCTTTTCTTCCGCTTTCCCTCTTCTCCAGAGAGCTTGGACTAATATGTCCAATGTATGATAATTTGCGTGTCATCATTTGTGCCTCAAGAGAGAACTCTGAGTTCATTTGTTCAGTGATCCATTTCTTCATTTTGGAGGGGGGTGGGAGGAAACATGACTGTCCATGATAGTCTCAGCATAAATTCTCTTTCTACATTCTCATGTGCCTTGGATTAATTTTGATCACATATAGGTTTATTATCAGTCTCTGTAACTGGAAAACTATATTTTATTATAAAATTATTGTTGTTTTAAGAGAAAGTTTTAACTGGGATTTTTTTTTAAAAAAAAAGTTATTTTAAATAGTTTTAAAACTTTTTTTTAACCTTTTGAAAAACAGATATGTCTGACCTTAGATCTAGATTAATAAAAGTAATTTGTTTGCTGAACATTGAAATATATTGTTGTATTTTTCTTTGTTTTGCAGTAATGGTTCAGTGGATTCGATGAACTTCCTACTATATGAAGTTGGCGGCAACATAAGTACGTGTGCTTGCACTAATTCTTGTTCAAGGGGAATATGGGGTACTAGTTTCAAGGGATAAGTTTTGGCAATGGAGAATAAACACTGTTGAAGGAATAAATAGGCTGGGCAGCAAGAATTGACAGCTTTACCATTGCCCAGTAACAAAGCAGCATGGAAGTTGCTGAGAATTGTTCAGGTTGGGTATTTGGAGAAAATCCTTTAATTAAATCTGAGCCTGGTTCCTACAACTTGACAAAAGCATAATCTTGATTTAGCAATTATGTGTGAAATATGAAGAATTCATATAAAATAGTGTTTGGTAAAAGTTGTTTCACATCTGATTTTGAAAGGGTGAAAAAGAAGAGATAGTTGCCAGGTGTGAATCAAAATGCTTCCCAGAGACATTCTTGGTAAATGCATGTTTCCAGCTACTACAAGTCCATTTATAGCATAATGCTCAGCAGACTCTTTGGTTCTATCATGAGCCCAATTCATCTCTATATTTTCTCTTTACAGCTGGAAACATTTTCTTCATAGGATCTTCCACCTTCCTAAACTTTACTTGTAGCCCAGGAATATTTTTTTATGAAAATTGCTTATGAAATCATTTGAAACTAATGACTAAGTATAAAATAAACTCTAGTGAAGAGTTTATAACTCATTTTTTAAAACTAAACAAACTGTTTTCCCCTTCTAACAGATGAACATTGCCTGGATCCAGATACATATCTTTTAGATCTGCACCATGTTAACCCTCAGGCAGAATGGATTATAAGGCAAACTCCGTCTTTCCCAAGAACACCTTAGGGAGACTGCTTAGTAAAAACAACAACAACGGAACCAAAAATTTGTATTAAGTTGTTTAAACAAAGGTGGAACGTTGGAACCAAGCACCATATGTTCATGAAGATAACAGTTTAAATGGAGCAGTAGCTCCAAAATTGGAAAATTAGCAATTCCCTTTGAATGGTCTTTTGAGATGATAGTCAATAGAAGGCGACAGTGTTGTATGATAAAGATGGTATATATCAAAGGAAAGCTGGTAGGAGAAAAGAAGAATGGAAAGCATTTGGAAAAACTCATACAGATAATCTGATTTTAAGATTTGTTCACATAGTAGCATATCTGCTGGTTATCAGTGTTGACTTTTATAAAGTGAAACTGAATATTTGAATTAAGGCTTCTTGTACAACCATGTAATTTTTTAAAAAAATATTCCTATTGCTTTATTTCTGGAGAGTTTAATTGATAACCAGCTGCCTAGAATATAGGAGGAAAATTGATTATTATAGTGGGAGTTCTACCTAAAGAATGATTCTGTCCAAGGACGGGATGATCATACTATGCACAAGTAATAATTGTGAGTAAAGAATGTCTTCTATAATGACTTTGAATGTTGCAGTTATACATAGACGTTGTGTTTATATAAGTTCAGTTTTACAATGACATTTTATTTTTTAAAAGAGTATGTTCTAAGAACATCTTCCTACTAGGTTACAATAAACCATCTCAGTATTATTGTTTATATAAAATTTTATCATAGTAAAATTGGATTTCATATTGCTGTCTGTTTGTAATATATTTTCTTTTGCAAAGACACTGAATTAGAAATTTCTTACACTGTCTTTTTTCCAAGGCAGTCCATAAGAATCTGAGCCATATAATAATTCAATATTGATGCCTGTTTCTTTAATATACTTTTTTAAAAAAATCACTTATGGATGTGTTTAGGAAAAACCTGTTGCATCTGTCCAGGTTGTTTTCAAGAAAGCCATGATACTTCACTTGGACATAAATGTCCATCTGATACCAACTTTTTCAAACCACATTCCAAAGCAAAGCCATGTATTAGTAACAAAATTCTTTTTATTTTGTAACTTTTGGAAAAATCATTTTGAAGATTTATTTTTAATGCATTGACTTGTAGCTAGTTCATCTTGGAAATTTGTTGGATGATAGAATTGCAGAAGTTTGTTGAAATGATGCTGTTAAAAGTGGCAATTTTATGTAACTGCTCCGCTTTCTCAATGTTTAAACATCCTGAAACCTGGTACCTTTAGATGTGTTGGACCTCAGTTTTCCATAGACTGTCTTGGAATTGAAGTCCAAAATACACATGGAAGGAATTAAATTGTTATGATTACTTCCATTTATCACTGCAGTTTCCTCCTCCGACATCAGGGGTGTCAAACTCACGTCACGGCGGCATCACATGACGTATCGGGACTTTTTTCCCCTTTGCTAAACTGGGTGTGGGCATGAACAGCCCATGACAGCCCTGTTCTAGATAGTGATAGTTCCTCCCCTTTCCCAAGAGCATTCTAATAGCATACATTGGACAGATCAGGTAAGCTTAAGCATATCAAAGCCTAACTCAGCCTAACTCAGGCTAATTGTCAACTATAAATCCCTTGAATATAGATACAAATTATTTTGGATACATCAGATGAAATAGATTCATGCCAATACAACAAATCATGCAGCTTGTAGAGCATGCAGGTAGTCAAATGGAAAAAAGATTTTGATCCATCATGAGAAACTCTGAGATACCAAAAGTGAATAGAAGGAGTTTACTTTGATATTCATAAAAATCTCAGTGCTATAATGATGAGGCCATACATTTTAAAACAAATATTGCTGAAATAGATTCCTGACATAATAATGATGCTATGAGTGTTATAGAGGACACACCTGTAATATGTAAGGGAAAACACCATCCTTAATTCTGCCCTAAACTTGATTTTTAAAAGAACATTTTGGTATGTTTTGTGACAGTAGTTAAATAGTAAAGCATAAACTCTGCATGTTTTAATAATGGTTTTTATTAATATTTTAATGCTGTGTTTAAAACGGTTATACAATAAATAACTAGATATATTTCCAAAATTTTTCATCCTGTTTCTTGCTGCATTTTATTTGTTTCTTTATTTACTTCATCATAAAAAAAATAAGCTGTAAATGTATTTATTTATGAAATTTATCTTCTGCCTATCTCCTGGTTCTGGGTAAGTTTACAATGATTTTGTCTATGCAACAAGTTCAGCTGAAACATATGAATAAAAAACACATTACAGCTTAGCATAATGAGTGACTACAACTAGGTCTACTATGATGTAGATTTTTTTAAAGCATAAAGTTAGTGTGACATGACTAGTTTTTCAGAACCTTGCTTGAACTTTTGGATATAAAGAACTGCTTATTTATTTTATTTTTAAATTTATATGCCACCCATCTCTCTTGATAGGTGGCTCTGGGTGGCTTACAGAACTTAAAAAAATAAATAGAAAAGCAATTAAAATTAAGCACCACAACCAGACAGAATATTTAACTCTATTGGATTCTAGACTCTATTCAGCTTTTCGCTTTACTGTTATTCTGACTATATGATTTGAGCACTTTAAACAATTGTGAACCTCACCTTTTCATTTCTTATTATCTCTAAGATCTAGAAAGCTTACCTATGGGAACCAAGTCTCATCAGCGTACATCTATATTAAGAAACTCTTTCATACTTTACTTGTAATTCTTGGAATAGACAAAAGTGGGTTTAATCTGTTTCTTTTGACCAGGTGGCTTATCCTCTGATTGCAAGACACTTTGTAGGAGAGATAGGCAGGGATTCATTTATAAATGTATCTTCTTTCATGCTGTGTATGAAAAGGAACAAATACATTAAATCTCCCTTCAATTTAAGTTAGAAATTCTCTGTATTTTTCTAGAGGAAAATTGGCAATATGTTTCTTCTTTCAAAGAAAAAATGAAAACAGTGGTGATTTCTTTCTGAGATAGGTCCAAAACTCAGAAACAAGAATTCTTCATAGTAATTGTCCAAAACATATCATTATCAAACATTAAGATCTTTAAGAAATGTCTTCATAAATTAGGTGCTAATTAGCATGACCATTGAAGGAAGGGGGCATTACAAAATTCTGTGATTTTGTCCCAACCTTATTTTAATAGTAATTGGAGAAAATAGTGGTGAGCAAGGCAAGAAGGAGGCCCAGAATATAAGTAAAATTAGAATATTGAGATTAAGATGTTAAGACTCCAGAAGAAGTACGGAGAAGAGCAACAAACTGTACAATGAATGGTGCAGAAACTAGAAACACTTAGTCTAGTGAAGAGAAGGACTAATTGTGACATGACAGCAGTCTTTCGATTTTTGAGGGGCTGTCACAGAGAGAATGGGATCAACTATTCTCCAAAGCAGCTGAGGGCAAGACAAGAAACAACATGGAAATTTAACAAAGAGAGAGTCCAACTAAAATTAAGGAGAAATTTCTTGTCAGTGAGAAAAATTAATCAGTGGAACGGCTTGACTCTAGAACAGGGCTGTCAAACTCCAGGCCCACGGGCCAGATGTGTCACACACCGGCCACACCGACGCCTGGTTTAGCGATGGGGGAAAAAGTCCCAATACATCATGTGATGTTGCCATGATGATGTGAGTTTGACACCCTGCTATAGAAGATGTGGATGCTCCATGGAGGTTTTTAAGAAGAGATTGGACAGCAGTTTGTCCAGAATGGAATGGGGTCTCTAGCTTGAGCAGGGTGTTGGATCAGAAGATCTCCAAAGTCCAATACTTCCAATTCTCTTATTCATTATTTTGTATTTCTATCTACACTATTTATGGTATTTATTTATGGAGAATTTATATTATCAGGAAAAAGCTATCCATGCTTATTCCTTTTAAGTTGTTTCAAACTGTTGCACACTTAAGAAACTGAGAACATTACATCTATGCAAGAAAATGACCAAACTCAGAGAGCACCATGGATCCAACATCTATGATCTAGTTTGAGAGCAATTCAATTTTTTTAACCTGAAACTTCAGATTATAATTATTTAATCACCTCTGTTGGTTGCTGTTGTTTCTGAGTAATTCCCTGTGGATTTGAAATAGTTTTGGAATTGCAGGCAGTGCTTAAAGAGAGTATTTATAGTCTGTGTGTGTATGTCTGTTCACGGCATATTCCATTTTTTAAACTGAAGTTGGTTGCTGGGAAGAAAAGAAATACGCAACAAGGGCCAAAATAAATGAGAAAGATGAAGGGAGAATAGTGGAAAATGGGCTTCTTTCAGGTGCAGACCTATGCAAATACTATAATTAACTTTAAGTGTGTATCCCCCGCTGCCTTCATTATAGCCTTTTATGTACAGATGTAAATTGAGGTGGCAGTTCTCATCTATGCTGATGATACTGGTAAGCTACCCTTTGGATACAAGAGTAAAATTGGGTATTATTTATAACAAACCAACAGAGCTGGTTGATGAGTTAGATTCCAGTTTACAAGAGACAATTAAGAATATTACATTGTTTTCTGTCTTCTTTTTTTTAACCAAAAAGCAGAGAGAAAAGCATGGGGCTTCCTTAATAGCCCTTGTGACTCTACTTCATGTCCTTAGAGCACATTTGTTGTGTGTTGCATTTATTATGATCCACTTGTTATTATCCATAATTATTTTGCTTGGGGGAGGTCTCTTACTCAACAGCGAAATTTGCAACTTGATGATGAACTCTCAGCTGCCTGTATTTAAGGTAAAATTACTGCAATTAAGGAAGTGATCAATCCCTGAAGCTGTCTGACTGATTTCGGACAGAACAAAAGGACAAAATTAGAACAGCTTTAGTAGCATCGAGGCAGGGAAGAGGGCTGCAAATTTTAGCAGCAACAAAAGTAGCCTTCATTTGAAGCGTCTCTATAACAATTAGAATGATAAAAACTGTGCCTAACCCAAGTTGAGTTTATTCTTTCTACAACCAGACAACATTGGATCTATTCCAATGTATAGAGTAGAATTAAAGAATAATCTATAAAAACAAATATAGCCCAAATGTATGGAACGTATCTGTAATATGTTCCCCAGTGTTGGTGTGTTCAACAGCCTTGCTAGATGTAGTTAAGAGTTCAAATCATACATGGGGGTAGTTAGTTGTTGATGCATACTAACATGAGTAGTTTTTTCAAAATTATTGCAGGGGAAAGGAAACTCTTGATTAGATGGAAGATTCTATGGGAAAGAAATACATGTTAAAAGGATATGTATAGTTGCTGATTTTTATCATTCACAATAACAGGTTTAATTTTGAATGATAATCACAAATAGTTTCAAAGCCCCACTGCATCAAAAGATGACTTAGAAAGACATATCAGAATATCAAGATAATGCAATAATTTAATTTTTCCCATTTTTATATGCAAGTTTTTAACAATTTTTTGAATGTGCATTAACTTTCATGGATAAAATGTGAAGATAGCATTCATCCTATTTCATGCAACTATAAAAAAAAAACAAGTTAAATGTAATAAGAAAAGTCTGGCTATTTCAGTAAGCCCTTGAGGATTGTTACAATATCATCCTATGTTCCTGCTTTGCTGTAAGTATTGCCATGATTTCCCTGGATGTAATAGAAGTGAAGATTATTACAGTATTTTCGTTTGGCACCATTTATTGTTTTAATTTTTCAACTGTATTGTATTTCAACCCTATTCAACTGTACACCACTTAGAGTCATATGTGATTGGAGCACTCTGATTGCTTAAGGAAATAAATGAAATTGTGATATGGAGGGCCTTAGTTGCATATTCACACAATCATATCTACAAACATTTCAGTTCTGTAAATCCATTCAGATTGGGTTTAACAAAGTATTGGAGACTTATAAGGCTGTCAAAAAGAAAATTGATTTTAACAGCTCTTTCATTATGCAGATTACTTAGAAATCATTCTCACAATAAATCTTTCAGGTTGACAGGAATGGGCTGCAGATAAATTTTGCATACAAAAGATTCAGGGCTCGGTCTCTGGCATCCTCAGATTGGGCTTGAAAAGGGCCTGGCCTAATTTTCTTCCCTTTCTTTTAAATTTTTTAAACTGAAATTTTAATTTGTTTTTAAATTATTGTGAATTTTAATTGTCTCGGGCAAAATTATTTAATTTGGTTTTAATTATGTTTTTTAACTTTTGTATTTATATGTTTTATTCTGTGCCTGTTCACCGCCCTGGGTCCTTCGGGAGTAGGGCGGTATACAAATCTAATAAATGAATGAATGAATGAAATGAAAGATGGGAGCTGTTCAGATCTTGGGGAAAGATTGCTCTAGTTCAGACCACAGCTTAGTACAGGCTTTCCCAGCTATAATATTTTTGTCTCATGTCATGTAGGCTCTATTTATACTCCCTGTTAAAGCGAACCTATTTCCTTCTGCAGTAGTCTCTCCTATTATTAAAAAGCAGTTAGCTACTTATGGGGAGATTTGTAATGTCCAGCTGCTAATTCTAGTTTTACCATCTAGATCCAATTTTGCCTACCAGAGTCAGATGTAAATGGTGATGCAGACAGCAATGGATAGAATTGGATAATGAACATAATTGAACAGCTTGCCTTCAGAAGTTGTGGGTGCTCCATCACTGGAGATTTTTAAGAAGAGACTGGGCAGTCACTTGTCTGAAATGGTTTAAGGTCTCCTGCTTGAGCAGAGGGCTGGATTAGACACCTCCAAGATCCCTTCCAGCTCTATTCTGATTCTAATGTAAGAGTTCTTTAGTAGACGAACAAGAAGATAAAAGTGATAAAAGATCTGAATCCTCCTGCCAAATATACTGAATTTACTATTGCCTAACATGAAAAAGTTTTAAATCAGGGTTATGTATTCCACTATGCCATGATTGGTTTGGTTTAGTACTGTATAAACCCAGCCATTATAAGTTGTAAACCATAGTTGGTTTATTGTGTGATGTAAAGCCAGCCAACTGTGCTCAGGCAAGCTGCAGCTTAATGTAATATGTGAACCAGATCTTTAAGTTTTTACAATTTCCATATTTAAAAGTTGGATGTAAAATTACTTTTTGCTGGATTGTCTGTTAATCACAAATAAATGTGATTT